AACAGTTAATTGTTTTATAATGATAGTTTTGAATATGTGTTCTTCATAAAAATTTAGGGGTCTGCCAATTAGCTCAGCTGTTTAAGTGCCTGCTCATGCAAATAGTCAAGTGCAGGATACCGTGCTACGATCCCCACCTCCAACCACCTCACCAAACCCACCCTTAAGGCAGCCTGAGGGAGCCAAAAAAATCATTACAAAAATTTATATTCATTTAATTTTAAATTGAAGAATCGTAATTATATATTTGTCAGGTGAAATATAGTGTTTCAATGTAAGCATACTATGTAGGATGATTAAATCAAGCTAATTAGCAGTCCCCTCACTTCATTTCACTCACCTGTCTTTGTGTGGGGTAAACTGTGAATTTAGTCTTTATATTATTTGAAATGTAGCTTAAAAGGTGTATTACTGTTGACTACAGTCCTACAGGTGCACAAAAGAAATAAAAACTTACTCGTTTTAATTGAAAGTCTGTGTACCTTCACAAGAAACTTTTTGTGCTTCTTGCTGTGTTCTTTGTTTATTTTAATGGATACTTAACAACTATAAGAAATTTTATAGTTGATGTTTAGCGTTGCTATTTCACTATAAAGATCTCAGCCACAAATATTTATAACAAAAAGATTTTCAGTTAGTTCGAACTAATGCAATTAAAAGAAAATACGGTTTCTGGCATCAAATCACCAAAGATACCTACAGATGAATGTATGTAAACTCAATTTTGCCTGCTTTAGCAGTGAGAGAAGAAATTGAGATGAACACAAACAAAATAAATAAAATCCAGGAAAAGGAAATGTAACTTTTGGGGCGCACTTGACCTGGTCCAGCGTTCTCCGCAGAGCCCACAGCACGCGCATGCGCAGTGGCAGGTCTGCCCACCCCGCGTCTCTGCGAGGGCTGCGCCTCGCTCCAGCGCGCCTCTGCATGGCCGGCATCTGCATTGAGCGCGGACAGCACCCAGCATCTTTATTCACGCGGCAGGGCCTCTAAAGCAGACTGTTCTTACCAGGGCTGCACCAAAGATAACGGAATTTGTTACTGCCTAGAGGCCTGGCAGTTTTACAGGGCATATACTACCAAGGAATTTTTCAGGTAAAGATGATCTCTACTTTGTGTCCTTCAAATCTCAGATGTGAACCTCAGCTCTACCCAGATCACATAGCTTCAGATTTCTGATCCCCTACACACACTCGCAGCTATCATCTCCTGTGCTAGTATTTCTTTTTTACATTTTGCTCAGCGCTTTCTACTTTATTATTTGACAAATTATATATTTTTATATTTAACTATCATATAATTTATTCCTTTATTATGCATGCTGTTTATTGTAAGTATGCCCTCACCAACTGCAAGCTCCATGTGGGAATATTTGTTGTTCAGTTAAAGAATATACCCTACTACTTAGAAAATAGCAGGCTCCTGGGGGAAACTCCAAAGTATTGTCGAATTAATGCCTGGATAGATTTTCAAAAGTGATCCCATTGGAACAGCACTGCTGTATAAGCTGAGACTCGTGCATGTTAATAAGGATCTGTGGAATGGTGATCATGTTTTCTGCTAGAGTTTTTAATTCAAGCTGTCTTTGATATATATGAAAAAATAATAGAAAATAAACAAAAGCTTGAATATGTAGTTCAGTTTATAACTCTGACCTTTCAGAAGCACAGAAAAATACCAAAGGTGAGTGAATGTCAACATAATGAATCTGACTATACATGAGGCATCCAGGAGGGGGCGCTAGCCCCGGCCGGGGTATAGTCTACATTAGAGGTATTGAACTCAAGAGTGATGACAACAATGAACAGAGTTTGAACAGAACATTTTCTTTTCTTTTCTTTCTTTTTTTCTTTTTTTTTTTTTTTTTTTTTTGGCGGAACCGGGAATTAAACTCAGGCCCTTGTGTTTGCCAGGGATGCGCTTATTCCACTGAGCCATCTCCCTGTCCCAGAACACTTTCATAAACTACAGTTTACTAATGGAAGGATGCTCAGAGAGACTAGTAGATAGTTATAAGTTCTTAGAACTGGGTTTGATGCACAGTCTGACAAATATTAGTACATCACAGAAAAAACTCTCCCACTTTACATGATAGCTATTAAAGTAACTACAAAAACCCTAGTCACTCTTATTCTTTAATGAATAACATGAATAACTATATTGATTATTCTAAGTATTTGCAAAATAAGGATTCCAAGAACATTTACACATTTATATGTAATGAATGCAGCAAAGATTGAAAAATACATAATTACACTGTTTGTCAATATGTGTTGATAATACACATTTATCATCTTTATTATTTTCCTAACAAATAAGTAGAAAGTGTAATTATAAAGCAAATTTTGCCATTGGAAGCTGTTAAAATACTTTTTAAAAACCAGCAGAATAAGCATCTGTTACTAAAATGATTGATATTTTATATTTACACTTAACTGAGACAGATGTGTGAGATGATACAAATAATCAGTTTTGAATAGCCAATAAGGAATACCAATAATGCTTAGGTTATTAGCAATTAATAATTTATTATTTGATGAAATATCTGATAACTGTGATTTTTAAGGAAAATGTGAACAAAACCTTACAAGTTCAAGACTTACCAACATTTATTAAATAAAAGCCCCCTTTACTTAAAATGTTAGTGTATTTCTCTCTGATAGAAATTTAGAGGCTCTGTGACTATTCTGAGTGAAATTCATGCATTAATTGAAAGGAAAAATTATACCTAAAAATCAGTCTCTTTTATTATAAAAAACCCCTAAAACCATCAGTATTTAAGATTTTCATGAAAGCACATGAACTTATTCATTGTAAGAATATAAGATATTCACTGTATAATTCTCCCTATTCCTTTAGAAGTATTTTAATCTAAATGTTATTTGCAGTATTTCAAGCTAGAAAGTATTTAGAGACACAGTATTTATAGACATAGTATGTGGAAGCATTTATTT